CCTCAGTAATCTAATGTTGAAATGTCTCAGTAATACATCCAATCAGTTGCAGATCGTTCAGTGTTTTGTATGTCATATAAAAACTGACAAACATGTTACCCTCAGTAATCTAATGTTGAAATGTCTCAATAATACATCAATCAGTTGCAGATCGTTCAGTGTTTTGTATGTCATATAAAAGCTGAAAAACATGTTACCCTCAGTAATTTAATTTAATATTAAAATTTCCCAATAATACATCCAATTACTTATAGATGTTTCAGTAATTTTTGTGTAATTGTGTAACCCCCATTCTTCTAATATAATGCAACTTCTCATCGATCACCAGTTATTTATTTCATAAACAGTCACATGATCCCTGTTGGATAATTATCTCTGACATCATTAGTACTATTTTCACTTATCTATTTAACAGCAATATTTATGGTCAGAAGTAATACAGAGTTTACTAAAAGTGGCAACCTTTTCTTAGTATAGAAACATATGAGCGAATAACGACAGTTTTTACGTATATTCTAAAATACTCGAACAGGATCACACAACAACGACAACAATGCTTCGGTTTGTTGTTCTAAGTTATTCAAAGATGTTTTACGTGTTCATCTCTAACACTCTTTTTATTCTACTTAACATAACTCGTAATAAGGTAAGATTACACACACGAAGTTGAAGTAGTGCTACGTTTATCATTTATTTACAACTTACACCGAACAAAGAGTGCGCCCAACAGTTTAGCACGACTCAGATATACTTGTTATATACAGTTCTCAATAAAATGAATTCATTTCAGCTTAAGAGACAAAATTTTGGTCAATAACACCAGGGGATAAGTAAAAAAAATTCATTCCAAAACACGTTTTAAATTGTGTAATAGGTCACGCATGAACCGTGAAAACCGCGGGTGAGCAGACTACACCTTACGCTATTATAAAGATCATACGAAGCAACTTAAAATGTTTTTTAAGATTTATTTAGAGAATAAAGTTTGAAGGTGAAAGTAGAGTATTTCATTGCCTAAGCTCATGTTGGTTTGTTCTGAACCCACAAACTCCACCTGATAGAAGTGGAAAGGCATTTATGAGATGGGGTGTGTGTGGGTGTGGGGGGGGGGGGTGAAAAACAGGTCGGTCTCACTATTCTGTACCTAACCTAGTTCAGGCATGCACTGTACCTCGACATATGGAGTCAGAACAATAGAGCTTACAGAGATTGGAGATTCCAAAAATGTTCTTAAACATTTTACACGGAACACACTGCTCTAGGGGCTGACCCGTCTCCTTTATTCCGCTCTTAATCTCCTAGATTTTTGAAGGTTTTTCAGCTAAACAAATCTGATTTAAATGGGTCAAGCTCTACAATAATGTCGGATTTCAACACTGGTAGAAGTACTCAGCGGAAAGCTAGGTAGTTATTTTCATATTTAGAAAGAAAATTTCATAGAGAAAACTAAATAAGTTGTTCAAATGACAACCATTTCTGACATTAGACGCATAATTATTCCTATTATGATGTTGGTAATGATAACAGTACATCTCATTCCTTCGGTCCCCCCCCCCCCGGTGGGTCAGCGGTAAGTTTTTGGAGCTACAACGTTAAAATTCGAGGTTCGATTTCCGGCGGTAGATATATAAGTTTTGGAGTTACAACGTTAAAATTCGAGGTTCGATTTCCGGCGGTAGATATATAAGTTTTGGAGTTACAACGTTAAAATTCGAGGTTCGATTTTCGGCGGTAGACATATCGCAGATAAACCGCTGTGTAGTTTTACTCTAGAACAAAATAAATAAATAAACATACTCATTATTTTAAATTGTACACTCCAGGTGACGATTAAGCAAGAACACGTTTCTTTTTTGTTCTGAATCGTGGTTACTGTTGTTGTTGTTTTTTTACTAATGTTATTGAGATTCGCAGCTTTTCTGCTCTACGCTTTTATTGATTTATTCCTTGTGTCCGATGACTCGATAGTTTTCAGCTTATAAGGGCGGCATTACTTAAAACTCGTTGAAATATTTCTACAGTTTGAAAAATCAATAATCACTATGTGCACGGGTCCACTGACAACATTTGCAGCTGTTTGATTCCATTACTTGAAAGTACAGATGCTCTTTCCATGTAATTATGTAGCATAGATGAAAGAAAATCGGGCATTTTATTGCTATATTTCGTATTAGAGACTTATACAGCCATCTTCGTTTTGTATATGATAAATCATTAGTTTTTTTAATTGTAGACTAACTTTCAGTAATATTTCTATGGCAACATTGACTCACAGAACACGAATTCTCCACTTCCCTGTACAGTTTCAGGTTTTACTAGACATGTGTTTTTCCTTTAGATGATAGTAGACTAACTTTCAGTCATATTTCTATAACAACATTGACTCACAGAACACGAATTCTCCACTTCCCTGTACAGTTTCAGGTTTTACTAGATATGTGTTTTTCCTTTACATGATAGTAGATAACTTTCAGTAATATTTCTATGACAACATTGACTCACAGAACACGAATTCTCCACTTCCCTGTACAGTTTCAGGTTTTTACTAGACACGTGTTTTACTTTTACACGATAGTAGATAAATATCTGAAACAGAAAAAAATAACCTTAAATTTCACAGGATGATGCTGTATTTTACAAGCGATAAGTATTTTGCTGGAGTCTTTGAATCAACACGAAAAATAAGTTATTTTTATTAATCTTCAGGGTATAGACAGTTTCCATGACGCTGTTTCATATGGACGGCATGTCTACCCTTTAGGTATAAATGTGCAGTTTCTTATACACGTGATTTACTTAGCAGGTTGTCTAGGAATATATATATATATATGTCCGTAAAGTCTCTAGATATTTGTTTGTTTAATTATTTTAGAGCAAAGCCACATTGGGCTATCTGATATATCTACCGTGGAGAATCGAACCCCAGGTTTTAGCGTTGTAAATCCGTAGACATACCGCTGTCCCACTGGATGTCTGTAAAGAAAAACCTTTAAAATAAGTAACAAACGAAATTATGCAATTCGAATGTAATTATTTCCTTCAAACTTATTATCTTAGCTTTTGGGATAAGGACTTTTAAGTATAATTATTTTGTTGTTGTTGTTGTTGTTGCTGTTGTTGTTTACGGGAAAGCTTTTAAAGCCATCTGCCATTGTTCGAAATTTTGAATTGCCGACCATAGCAGTCACTCTCAACTCTTGAGATACTTCTTCACTAAGGAATAGTTGGATTGACCGTCACATTATAACAACCCCATGGATAAACGAGTGAGCATGTTCGGCGCCGGGTTTCGATCAGTATATTGCAAATCAAGCGCCCTAATCACCAGGCCATGCTAGGCTAAAAATTTGTTTGTATACGAATTAAAATAAAACATTTTTGTTTGCAATGTTTCAAATAAACGTTGAATGGAAGAACGATGGCCCTCAAAAAAATACGATGAATTTATTTGAACTAGAATGGTCGCTGGTATCAGAGCCGGCGCTGGTGGGAGGGGGTGGAACTGGGAACGGGCAGGATGTGCAAAGAGTAAAAGGTGAAGAAGTAAGCTACAGTAACATATTGAGTATCCATTGTAACAATGACGATAACATGGGGATCTTGAAGGTTTGTTGTGTAGGAAAGGACAGAAATAGGTTCAAAAAGGAAATTTCAAAAACATAACAATTAGGAAAGAATTAGGGGACTAGAGAAATTATTTAATATGAAATATGCGTTAAATGTTGGATTTCTAAGTTCACGAAAATAGAATTTGATCCACCTTCAATTTCATCTTGGTATGTATCATAGTACACATATGCACACACGTATATATTATGTACAAGTCTTTACACACGTGTTTTAAACTGAGAATGAGAACTAAGTATTATTACTACCTGTTAGAGTTGAAACTGGGCTGGTATCTGTCGATCCTGCAATGTTTGCTTCACTGCTTGCCAACGAGGAAATGCTAGCATACGACTCATGGCTGCTGTGATTGGTTGATCCCGGTCTAGGTGGTTGAGCATTTCGGCCAATCTGTGGACTGTCACCAGGTAACAAGCCAAAACGTATAAAAAGATCTTTTTTCGCTGTTTCATCGTTTCCTTTAGCAGTATAAGGCAAATTATCGTCGTCTGTAAAACATAATAATGATTATATTGATGTTAAGAAATTACCCCAAATCTTGGGAACATCTGCGGGGGGAGGGGCTGTCATAGACAGAAGTTATAAAATTAAATATATTATATTAGAATTTCAGTACTTTAAGCTTCATTGCCCTTTTTTTTTCTTTCAAAGATGGTTCTTGATGTTCATAAAGATGTATAAACGACGACACGCAGTTGAGTAACGTCAATAACAAAAAGGTGTCTAAGTTATATTACACAATTTATAGTTTTATTATAGTTATAAATTTATATTTATAGTTATTACTCATTTAATACAACTGAAAAAAAGTTGTACGCTTCAACTACTGACATACATTATTTTGCAATTTGTGCTCTTTTTAATTAAGATATGAAAATATTTCGAGTAAAAATAAAAAGTAAATAAAGAATACACACCCGATAGTGGATTGTGAACGTCGGCGTTAATTTTTGTTGACCGTCCCTTATGTTTCTGGTGCCACGGAACCCGAGAAACATCGAGACTAGGTATATATTTGGGAACCCCAGGACCTAAAGGTAACACAGGAGAAATTTCAAATAAAGATATAGAACTCAACGAAATAAATTATGGTCAGTTGGATAGAGGCCTTTTAAGATAATTAAAATGAATAAAATCAAAACATTTAGCAACTTGTATCCTTCTTCAAAAGCTATAGAATATATCAAAAATGTAAAATTAGCGCTTTGAAATTTTGAATAGTTTGGAAGAAAGGTAATAAAATATAGTGTTAGAACACGTTAGGTTCTTATCGTTTTTAATGACAATGAACGACGTTCGTTTTTTAATAGATATTATGATAGAGTATAGCAAGTCCTCTGTAATGGAAGTACCAAGCAGAAATATATTCAAATCATTCTCTGTAGTCTCAAAGTTATACATAGATATAACCTACAATCCAATATAAAAGTACCACTCTTAGTAAATGCTGTATATATTTAAAATACAAAAACCGTTGCTCAGAAAGTAGTAGTTGTTTGATCTATTTTGAAAGTGAAAGTAATCTTAAAAAAAATCAAGTTCATATTTACATAATAATACAAATATAATGATTATTAACAGAACGCATGGAAATCAATCAATATAGTCCAAGGTTTATACTTTACACACCGATAATGGATAAATAATAACTTTTCAAAAATAACATAAATTTGTATGGCGTAATGATGAAAAAAAATTATCTTATACAATGATATTTCTTCAAGTCATAAAAGTGAGTAAGCCTTCCGAAAGAATCAGGATGTGTTAGTATCTATTTCGCTTTTTTATGCTTTAAGTTTCATATATATTTTAAATGTACAGTATTATCGTATAATCGACACGTATATATGTGTGTGTGTGTTCTGAGCTTGTATAAGCTATTCCATGAAGCTATATTTGAAATTTTAAAATGTTCACCGAGCTTACAAATTTAATTAACTAAATAATTAATTTGCTGAGTAAATGTAATACCTCAGTGAAAAGATGTGTCAAACCGATAAAGAATCTTATAAAACATAGTTATCAATGAAAACCTCAGTTACCTGAAATAAATTTTAAGTTCAAGAAAACGAGTAAAAATTGTTTTACACACTGTAATCTGAATGATTTTTATGTTCGTTCAGATTTCATTATTGACACTGAATAGTTTCACAAATCAACGACGTTTTAACTAAATAAACTAACATGTGTTACAAAGGTGATGTGGTAAAAACATCCTCTAAAAGCTATGATTAACTATGACCGATGAAAAACAGATTTTGTTTTATTTTTTGGGGCTTCATTTAAGAATACGGTAAAATTATGATCCTATCAGAACTTTGGTATTTCACTAAGTATTTGCAAATATAAAGTTAATTTACTTCTCAGTTTTGAAACATAAGCTATGTCACTTATCATGATGAATACTAAGCTGTTTTACTTGTTACCTCGGAATACCAACAAGCTGTTTTACTTGTTACCTCTGAATACGCCCCCCAGCGGACTTACAACGCTAGAATCCGGGTTTCTATACCCGTGGTGGGCAGAGCACAGATAGCCTATTGTGTAGCTTTGTGCTTAATTACAAACAAACAAAACCTCTGAATACTAATAAGTTGTTTTACTTCTTACATCTGAATACTAATAAGCTGTTTTACTTGTTACCGCTGAATACTAATAAGCTGTTTTACTTGTTACCGCTGAATACTAATAAGCTGTTTTACTAGTTACTGCTGAATACTAATAAGCTGTTTTACTTGTTACCTCTGAATAGTAATAAGCTGCTTTACTTGTTACTGCTGAATACTAATAAGCTGTTTTACTTGTTACCTCTGAATAGTAATAAGCTGTTTCGCTTCTCACCCTCTACGTTGTTTCACATGATATCTATTAATTAATACTAGGCAATTCATCTTGTCACTAATGCTAAACTAAGCTATTTCACATGTTATATATTAATGCTAAGCTATTTATTTCACTTAAATTGTCACTAACAAATAATAGTCTATTTCACATGTCATGCACTAATGCCAAGCTATTTATTTTTACTTGTTAGTAATGGAGATTAAGTTATTTATTTCACATGTCATGCACTAATGCCAAGCTATTTATTTTTACTTGTTACTAATGGAGATTAAGTTATTTATTTCACATGTCATGCACTAATGCCAAGCTATTTATCTTTACTTGTTACTAATGGAGATTAAGTTATTTATTTCACTTGTCATGCACTAATGCCAAGCTATTTATTTTTACTTGTTACTAATGGCGATTAAGTTATTTATTTCACTTGTCATGCACTAATGCCAAGCTATTTATTTTTACTTGTTACTAATGGAGATTAAGTTATTTATTTCACTTGTCACTAACGTATACTAAATTATTTCCCTAGTCATTTATGAATACCAAGCCATTTCACTTGATACAAATGAAGGCCAGACAAACTTGTCATGTATAAATTCTAAGCCATTTCATTTGCTAGTTATGATTATCACTCTATTTCACACGTCATCTATGAATAACAAGTTACTTCTCATGCCATGTATTAATGCTACGCTATTTTTTGTGCCACTAATGAATACCAGGCTAACTTGCATCATATAACTTCTTTTGTTATTAAACTATTTCACCTGTTACCTGAAACTTCTGCGCTACTTCTCTCGTCATCTATGAAGAACAGACTTTTGTTTTTTAAAGATGAAACTAATGTCACCTATAAATATTGTACTAGTTTATTGTGAAAAGTGAGTATTATATTATAAGTTATTGGTTTATATAGAAAAACTGCTTCTGGGACGAATCAAGTAAATAATAATAAAGCAGCAGCAGCGCTAAAAGCGATTATAGCAGACTTCTACCATGAAAGCCTTCAGGCAGTGGAACTTTCATGTTTTATCATTGGGATAATGCCATCTTTAAATTAATTTATCACCGTGACGATCTTTTTACAGACACTTTTAAACATTTATGAAGACACGTAGTTAACAGGATTTGCAAAGGTCACACCCATCCAGTCACAAAAAACTGATTCATGCATGATTCATTTTATTTCTCATAAAATGTTATCATTGTTACATTTCAAACCATTAAACCCTTACATTGTCGAACTGTTTTTATATCGTTCACCACCGATGTGGTTCACACAGTTTCACAGTTTGAGTAACTTCATGTTTTTGCCTTCCACGACATTCAGTGTAAAGATCTGATAAAAAGGACCAGAGTAAAATCATTTATTGTATATGTAAAATAAATGTGGAACTCCACTAGTAATTAATAAAATTAATTGTAATTATTGATTATAGTTTTATTGATATTTTTGTGTGTGATTCATACTTTATCAGGTGCACTGTAACCAACAGTCACAAACTCACAAGCAGCTTAACGTATAAACAGTTTACGAAAATGTATTTAAAAAGCCAGTCGGTGATAAATTGACGGATTTAAACATTAAAAATCTGGGGTTCGATTCCCCGCAGTGAGCAGAATGCAATGTAACTTTATGCAAAAAATAAAATCGGATGTTGTTGTTGTTGTTTTTTTTGTAATTATCTTTAAGCCGAATGTTACAGTTCGTATTTTAGAAACATAAATGATGTAAAATCGGGTCATCCTGCTAACATTCAACAATAATCTGAGGAACATTGTTTCAGTTTTAATACTGGTTTCATAAAAAGCACAATAATTATTTTTACTCAGTTTAATTTTAGGTATATATATTTACTTGTTTATTTTAAATAAATATTTGTTTCTGCTTATGCAAAATAAAAAATCGTACCAATCAGAATAGCATACATAAGATACAGTGATGTATATTTTAATGTTCTTTTGAAGCCTTTTAATAGAAACTGAGACCTCTCAGTGGAACAGGTGTGGTATTACACATTTTAGCCATTTGATACCATAGCGTGCATATGTATTTCATTAAAAAATTGCCTTATTTCATTTAATTAAGAAGACTGACAAAATAAATCAAAGATTGTTTGTTTGTTTTGAATTTAGCGCAAAGCTACACGAGGGCTATCTGCGCTAGCCGTCCTTAATTTAGTAGTGTAAGACTAGAAAGAAGGCAGCTAGTCATCACCACCCACCGCCAACTCTTGGGCTACTCTTTTACCAACGAATAGTGGGATTGACCGTCACATTATAACGCCCCCACGGCTGAAAGGGCGAGCATGTTTGGTGTGACGGGGATTCGAACCTGCGACCCTCAGATTGCGAGTCGAGCGCCTTAACCACCTGGCCATGCCGGCCTAAATCAAAGATAATCAAATATAACATCAGTCTTGTACTTAAGCTTAAGAAATAGAAGCGAATTGCGTTTAAATAAGAGTTGCAAATTTTCACACATCACATGTTACTTACCTGTAAGTAATAATATTCAAGACAAAAATCTGAGCAACAATGTTAGTCACTTACCATTCATAGGCTGTATCGAATAACGTTACTACTGAAGTTACCGACTGGTTCATGAAATTATTTATTTATTCACCAAGGCTAATTAATTCAGCTCCTTCTTCCTTTTTTTGTAACAGTATCTGTTTAATCTCACTTTTCCTGCTATTTTATGTCAGGTTACATGTCATTTAAAAGTGAACGTACCGCTTCAGGGCGTGATAATGGAGCTAAAATAATCTGTATGACATTGGCTCACTCATTTCCAAATAGACTTTTAGCAACCTAAAACTTTTTAACAGATAAGATAGTGTTAAAATACCTTATACTGAGATGAAGTGTCTATGATACACTGCCTGTACGTGCTTGGGTTGTAATCTCTAGCAGGATTGTGTATCGAAACAAAACCACTTAGGATAGAACAACAAATAATCAACAACCAGCGTACTCATTTTATTTATATTTCTGTGATGAAGGTAAAAATGAAACAGTGGAACAGCTACATTAATTTTTCACGTATTTCCTGGATTTATATGGTGTTAAAATGATACAGTAATTTTGAATTCTTTTTTGACACTTTACCCGTCGTGCTTTGTTACAAGGTCCTCCCTCCCCCCTTCTCCGCGACAACTTTTCAGTTGGCAGTCAAAGAGCTTCTTCCCTAGGTTTCTTACCCACACTAATTTCTTGTTCATGAGAAGCATGCCAGCAGGAGCATATTAGAGTTTTAGCATTTCACCTTATTTCTGGCAGTCATTCGATTTGAGGTGAACTGTATGTAAAGTTAGTCCTTCTGCCCAATTTATAGTAAACATCAGCTTTTTCTACGCATTCCTTTGTACTCTACTGAGTAGCCAAATGCAGGCGTAACAAGTGGAGCTTTTTTGGGGCTCATTCGCTGACAATCTTCGTTTCCAAAAAAAATCTCTTATCTAGACTGTCGGGGAATGCTGTCTCAGATCGTTGGTTCTTGTTTGGAATCCTTGGGTTTAACAGATTCTTCTTTTTAAATGTATCTAAACACACTTAGATTCCGAAAACTAAGTCATTTGTTGCAAATCTAAATGAGCTGAACACAGGGGATATTTATGGCAGAAGAGTATTCTTTAACGTTTGTATAACATACATCACATGGTTCTGAGGATCTGTTTACCAAGGTAAAGGTCGGGAGAATACTTATACATTGTTCTGTGACAACAACCAAAGTAGAATATATTGAAAAGACATTGTGAATGCGACCCTCCGTACCAGATTGTCGTTTCGATGATATATCTTATTTTAATCTAATTTTGTAATTAGTTTACATTGTTTGATTTGATGACGAGCGATAGATTTAACCATTTCTTAAGGAAAGAAAAAACAACAACTAATTTACGCTCTATTTTTAGATTAGGTAGCACAGATATGAGTATGAAAGATATTTTTCGGAAGACGCGAATAAAAACAGAAAATTAAATTAGGTATCTCCAATATTTCGGATATATATCATTATCAAGAGTTCCTACTGTTTGGTTTAGTTACAACGTAAAAAAAACTTCGAAGTGTAACAGTTGAAGAATAACGTGATGCTATGTTGTTGTTTCACTCACGCTCCATTGCGGGGTTCAAAGACCCCCCTCATGATTCACTAAGACTCCATTGTACCGATCAAATTCCATTAGTATCCCCAATTACTACTACTACTATAGCTGCTCCAAAGGGGTCCACACCCCAAAACAATCCCCTTTGAGACACACATCCGAGGTACTTGAGCACGTGTGGTTCCGCTAGCTTGTGACTGGGAGTAGGAACACATTTCTAAACATGACGCCCCCAGGAACACAAAATCCGATGGCAGATTTGGGTTCAGTGATCATTAAAACCTATTCCAAAACTCCATCATGCCTGGGTGCCCTTCCAGACGCGTTTTATCCACCTTACCACCCGAGTCCGCTGCCAGTTTGATTCTGGTATTTCCAATACTGTGGAAGGAGTTCGCAGACAAACAAACAAATTCACAAACACAAAATGTACTATACGTGTCGATTATACGACAATACCGTACATTTAAAGTATATATAAGAAATTTAAAGCATAAAAAAGTGAAATAGATACTAACACATCCTGATTCTTTCGGAAGGCTTACTCACTTTTATGGCTTGAAGGAATATCATTGTATAAGATAATTTTTTTCATCATTACGCCATACAAGTTTATCATAACTAGAAAGGTTGTATGTAATTTTTTTAATATTATATATTACGGTGGGAGGGGTATATTCCACATTATTTATTGTTCACGGAAAATTGGATTAATATTACTCCATCATATAGAGAACTGACAGGTAATCCATGAATGAATAACGACATAATTATTGCAAGTTTTATTTCTGTCACACCAATTTATCAGGAGATCACTATGATTTCTGCTGAAAGAGGGCAGCACCTGCTTAGAATTTCTAATCAACCGAATTATTTCTGCATGTCAGTAAACTGATAACTGGGAGGAGATTTTCTAATAAGATAGAGCTTAATGGTATGCAAAAAGGTAACTGAACTATTATGGCCTTAGCTATCTAACTACCTGACCTCATTCCCCTGAAACCAGGTGCAGATAGTTAAATCCTATTGGTGTTGGTCCGTATTATTTGTTACCTAACATGTTAAGCTAATTTTACCGTCAATAAAGAATGAGAGGTAAAACTCCGCAAAATAAAAACAAGACCTCGAGAACGAAAAGTAAACATGAAGGGCCTAAAGTCCGTTTTGTATGATATTATACGGTTTGCCACTTTATGTACACATACAAAGTGCATAAACACAGTTTCAAATTGCTATCTATATAAATATAATAGTACTGTCTGTTGTATGTCCATGTAATTACTTCGCATGGTGTGGATGGATCTTCACCAAATGTGTTATGTGGGTTCATTGGGTCCATGGGGAGATACATACAAATTTTCAGTTTTGCATTTTCCGTTTTGCGGTTTTAATGGGCGTTTTTTACCACTACTTCGTCCCCTTTGGATAGATCTTCACCAAATTTGGCTTGAAGATTTTTGGGTCCATGCGGAGATACATAGAAACTTGCGTTTTCACATTTTATGTTTTGCAGATTTTATGGGCGTTTTTGCGTTTTTCATAATTACATATAGGGGAAGCAGCTTTTCATGTCTTAAGATAACCTTTCATTAATCATGAATTTACATAACTTCTGTCCAGGGGACGGGTACTCTAGTTAGTATTAAAATATGTTCGTGTTGCTATAATTACTTAATTAGGCACTGCTGTTAAATATTTTAAACATTAGTTAGCACATATTAAGGTCGCACTGCATGCCTGATTTAGTGACTTTTTTGTTGTTGTTAATCACGCAGGTAAAAATACAGGCTAAAAACAATCAAATTCTTACCCATATCTCAAGTTACTTCATCGAACGTTAGAAGTTACATTCCCTGGGTGACTTTACACACAAGTTAGACTTTCAGAAGGTCTGTCATAACTCACCTTCAAAGTTACTAGCATCCTTGACGAACAAAGACGGCTTTCCACTGTCGCATCTGGTTTGCATGAATGTTGTAAAATGACCATTTGTCTTTAATCTTGGACGAACAGGTATACAAGGTTGATTGATCACAGTTTCGTCATTCGGAACTTCTTGACAATGTGACCCAATAGGAGCTTGTAGATATGTGAAAAACTTCGCTTTGTTTTTGGACTAGCTGTAGTAGTATTTTGTGTTTGTGTATGATAATATTAAGTGTTTAACTTACAAATATCGCGATTGGTCACATCAAATTAATTTTGGGATAATTGCTCCTTTAAGTCGCTGTTATATTGATGTGACTCTGCGTAGCCCCCTTTGTTTTTAATCATTGGATCAGTAAATAAAATATTCATCATTCCTTATCTTTTTTTTTTCAAAATTTGGATTTTTTTTAGCGTAGTGGAATATTTTTCCAGTTCTGTCACAACCATTACATGTGAGCGCAATATCCAACTTATAAAACATTCGTTTGGGTATAGATAAATGATTTATTTGTAAATAAGCACAAAGCAACACAATCAATAGGCTATCTCTGCTCTGCTCATCACGGGTATCGAAACCCGGTTTCTAGCGTTGTAAGTATGCAGACATACAGCTGTGCCACTGGGGGGGAAGTAACCTTCATCTACCAAGATCAAGTAAGACTCCAAACTGCAGCTACGCTAGTGTTCTAGTTAAATGAATTATGCTAATTCCTAAGCACAGAGCCCCTCATCATGCTCTGTGAAATATTTTTCAACATGCTTTAGAACCTTAGCAACAATATTTTGTGTTGTAATGTAAAGTAAATGCAGAGTTAGAAATACGGGTGGGGTGGGGGCTATAACTCCTCTATAGGAAACAACAACCTCCTTTTAATCGTCAGAATTGAAAATCTGGTGGTGGTGGTGGGGTTCTTTGTATCACTCCTCCATTCTGGTCATGTTGTTAATGAAAGTTTTTACTTTAAACTATGGTTAAACGTCAGTAAAAGTAAACAAAGTGGATGTGTGGTATATTTTTATAGTTACTTTTTGTGATGTCAACCTCGGTGGCTCAGGGATAAGTCTGAGGGCTTATGGCTCTAAAAATCGAGTTTCGATAAACGCGATGGGCAAAGCACAGATAGACCATTGTATAGCTTTGTGTTTAAAAACAACTAATCAAATTGTCTATGTAGTGCTAACTTATTTAAACACACACTCACACATATTCATATGTTAGCACACACACACACACACCCATAGATTTGGCAAAGTTTAATTCGAACAGTAAGTAAATGTGAAGTTTTCACTTATCTATAGTGAAATTAATTAAAATGGAAACACGGTGTCAACAGCAGACTAATTAAGCCTTAAGATTGTTGAACCAGCTAACTGATTTTATTTTAAAGCTACCATGCACACGTGAACTTGGTAATGCTCAGTGAGTTGCATTAGTTGTGTTACCTTCTTAACCTACGAAATTACGCATAACACGTTAGAACAGAAATAACGGAATAGTCTAACTTGCGACTACTCAACTAAAGTTAAAGAACGTGTATTGCAAATCTTACGTATTCACATGATCGTTTCACTCCACATTGAAAAACGTTGTTTGATTACAAGGAGTATATTTATATTTCTCTATTATAATAAAAGTAAATATGTTGAACATTCTTATACATCTGTGAATAAAATTATTTCATAAAGTTGATCCAGTTTAATTATTTCAATACTGAATCATTTAAGGGTCAGTTGAGTGTTATGACTTGGACTGTATAATAGTGAAAAATTATTGCGTTTGCTTACTATGTATGTTTTAATGTGGACCTCCAATTACTTTCCATGTTTCCAAAATATCTACTTTATACGTTACTTTTAACACATTGAATTAAACCCTTTAGTAAGCAATTATAAATGTAAATTCGCAAAAGAAAGATATACTTGAGCCCCACTTATAGTTTTGGGAGAAAAGCTCGTTTTGTTTTGAATGAAAACGATGTATTTTTATAATATTTTATAAGTGGTAGTTAATAAATATATATTTCTATTCCAGAATTTTATCAAAGTCACTTCACAGAGCTGTACTTTATCGTCAATGACTACTTTCGCTTTAAATATAATTTAAAACGGCACTTGTACAATATATATATATATACAGTTAAAAGGAGTACAACGCTAAAATAATTAGCTAATAAACAATTTATTAAAACAGGAACCAGCCCTAAAAAAAGACTCTATATGTTTCGGTGTTCTTACGCTACAATCAAATAATCAAATGCCCTATTATTTTACATGCACTAAAAGATTCGTATCTTGATCTTTTAATCGAAGGGTTAGCAACTAAGTAATTACTCCATAGAAACGTGTTTCGCAGGGTTAACTTGCGCGAAAAAAAAAACTCTCGTCAGTACGACAAACATGTGAGAGAAAATAAAAAAAACTTTATAAAAATGTGAACAACTTTTTTCTTAGAAGAAAATAAAACTGTGTGCATCCTCAATTTAGTGACGATTCTTCCAACGTCATCTATTGGGAAAAATTCTCAGCCTATCTTAATTACTTTATTCTTTCAAACCACGGCGTTGTTTGTTATATCACATGTCCGAAGATTTAATAGCGTAAATCGATTTCTAAGTTATTGTAGTATTTATGTTACAGATGTCAAGGAAAATCCAATTTGTGTTAAGATGTGAGATGGAGAAAAACCTTATTAGAAGTTAGCTAAAGTGATAGGAAATCCGTAGTAGATATATAAGGGATCCAAACTACTGGAAAATGTTTGACGAAAAAATAATTCTTCTTTTCTTTTTTTTTTACTGTATCTGGTTATTCGTTTAAGTGAATTGGGGGTGAGCCATTTCTGGTGTAATTTTAAAGTATAACTTATTCGAACTTTAAATTCGCCAGTTGCTTAAAATAACAATGCATGGTACCATGAATGTGACGCGAATACCGAAACTTACTGTGATAACCGATATACCTTGGCTGGTAAGTAGAATCAGCTGACTGCTGAATTAAAATGAAAGTAAGTAAGCAATAACTAATTCATATATTCTGAGTAAACTAACCCGACACATCATGAATGGATAACTCCATCATTTACACAGAAAAAAATAAAAAGTCTTCTGGCATAAATTTAAAACCATTAACGAAACGTTGGCTAACGTCGTGGTTTAAAGTGATTAATCATGTAATCTCTGTTAAGTTAATATATTGATTTCAATTACTTATTTTGTTTTTTCTGTGTGATGTAAATATTATTAATTGTATGTATAAAACATTCAGCTGAAATTAATGACTGGTGATGAGTATATTTAACAATTAAAAAAAAAAACTCTTTCTTTTATAGATGATTTAGGTAGAGTCTTCATGATGAACAAAACAAAGGTGAAATGAGCAGCAACTGAAGACGAAAGACGGGAATCTTTCAAAACGCCATCTTTTCCATCTGAAGCTACTTATGTATATTAGTCTAATAACGAAGATGAAGACGGTTGATAAGATATCTTATTTACAAGGTTTGAACGTTTCGGAATAACTTATTTCATCTTCAGAGAAATCTGAAATTGTAGTTAATAATCATCTTTGTAACTCGATTTTCAGATTTCGCTGAAGATGGAATAAATTATTCCGAAACGTTCGAACCTTGTAAATATAATGCTTTATGTTTTATCAACCGTCTTCATCTTCATTATTAGACTTCGGCTTCCTCATCATGAATCCATTGTTAATGTAGATTAGTCTTTCAAGACTTTCTCCTTAAGAGTCATTTTGAACTAGATAGTTACTGCCCATTTCAAAACCCCTTTCGTCATTGACTGGATGACTCATTATTCCTTTAAAAATAAATTCAACTTCAATCAGAATATCACCAAGAATGTTAAGTCTGTAATTATAACACCAGTCTGGAAGAAGCAACAACTTTTGTTTCATTCGGCTTGTAATCTCCTCTCCATAACAAAAATTGCCTCTTACAATCAAGTGGATCTAACTTCAAGTGGATCTAACTTATGAAAATTGACAGATGATTATGTTCATTCCCATTTGACATTTGTGAAGCGGAGGAAGTTGATTTGATTAATGAATATTCAAGTATGGTGAAAAATAATTTAAATATAGATTACGACAGAAAATGGTTACTATACACTCACGTATTGGGATAGGAAATTATAAATTAGCAACATACCTTCTAATGCACATAATGGACATTGGTCAGAATTGAATATACAAGAGTAGCAACGTTCGTGGCCACAATTGTCGATGAGACGTCGCTTCTTTCCTTTGTCAAATGGCATGTGACAAGATGGGCACCTGGGAATACTGGAGTCAACTCCAATCATCATCTTCTTCACGGTTTGCACATCTGGTATAGAAAATAATTACTCACATCTATATTAAATACATACTGTCGACCTGGAATTAATTTATACATGAACACAAATGTACGTGAAATACATACTGTCGAGCTGGAATTCATTACACATGAACATAAATGTATGTGAAATATATACTGTCGACCTGGAATCAATTTATACATGAACACAAATGTACGTGAAATACATACTGTCGACCTGGAATCAACTTATGCGTGAAATACATACTGACGACCTGGAATCCACTACACGTGAACACAAATGTACGTGAAATACATACTGACGACCTGAAATCCACTACACGTGAACACAGATGTACGTGAAATACATACTGCCGCCCTGGAATCCACTACGTATTCAAAAGGTGGCGATAGTGATTTGCAATCGCCATAATTCTTGGATTGGATGGTTTACATAAGCGCGCGAGCCTTAACAGTCCTAGCTTCAATCTCACTTATACACTAAACAAATAGGCGAGCTTACAGACCAAAGTTGAATGAAACAGAGCATTATCTGAGGCATTCAATACAAGTGTATACGTACATCAAGAGATATTTCAACAAAACTGTTTTCTAAATTATCAAAGCTATACAGCCACTGAAACAGAGCATTATCTGAGGCATTCAATACAAGTGTATATGAACATCAAGAGATATTTCAACAAAACTGTTTTCTAAATTATCAAAGCTATACAGCCACGCTTTAACAAACATTAAAGTTAAATAACGATAAGCAACTGAAGATTACATGATAGTGGATATTATATCTGTATATAATTTCCACTATCATCTAATCTTCAGTTTCAAAATACGCCTGAAAGACACATCCAAACTATACAAGTCCATCACGTGCTGACGATAAGTTTTTACGATACTTTTATACGTAAGCTAATTCAACTATCGGGACCAAGTAATATATTCGCATTTTTTTAGCTAAAAATTAAAAATCAAAACTTTCTGCTAAAAGGATATATTCAAATTTAATTAGACATACTATGAAATACAACTTACGAAGTACAGGTAATGCTGTAACTCGGACTAAACAACCAGAGTGTTGGAATGTATTGGAAGAAACTTACAACCATTTAAGCAGTTAATTCTTTCAAGGAATGCGAATTTTTCAACCTGAACGGAACCTTAAGTGTATGTGAGCTAAGCAGCGAGGTCAGTGACTCCTAGGGCTCAGGTATAACCAATTCTAATTGTAAGTTACTGACCAGAGGTAAGGCAATCAGCAAGCAGTAACCGCCGCCAGGAAAGTTCTGCCCGATTATTTCAACCGAAGAAGAGGACTGACTGTCATATTTATAACATATTCATCAACATCAGGTCTCGAACTCTGGACATTTCGTTTTTTAGCCTACTACACTAACCACCAGGCTACGCTCGGCACACTCCAGCAAGGAGGCCATATCAACAGCAGAAAACATTAGTTTCTTAAATTATCTCAACGTTACAATATTAATTTCTAGACTTTAAGAGATGTGATATTATGTTACACAGTAGCTCATTGCACGACGCAATCTGAAACTTCTTGCTAGGATTGAAGTGTCACAAATAAACAAAACACTTGCCAAGCATAGACTCTTGTTGTTCATTGACACAAACATCACGATCCATTATCACATAAGCTGCCGGTGCACAAGTTCACCACGATGTCTACCTTTGAAACACGTAGATCACTGGTGTTTGTATAACACAATGTTTGCTGTAGCTATTTGGTGGACTTAGGAACCATTTGCCTGTCTGTGGTTTACTTGAGTATTTTTGTGTACTAGAATAACAATTCCAAAGTTATGTTCATAACGTTGTAATAGCAAGAAACGTGATATCTAGTTTATATGACTCTCTGCCCCTTGCTTTTTATTTGTAGGTAGTAGTAAATGTTCTGAAAATTGGATAGATAACTATTACACTTAGCAATCGAAAATCTATGCAAAAAAAAAGTTGTCTGCTGTGGACCTGTACTTATATAATGTTTATCAAACATTCTATGTATAAAAACTATAAAAAGAAACAAACAAAAGTAGGCTGCAATAAAAATAATGACAACTTTTTTATCAATGTAGGATACGTGTAAGCTATTTTAGTGTTTCTTGGTTATTTGTATTTTAATGTATGTAAAGAATCGTAGAACACTTTAGAGCACTGAATAGGAAGGAAATAAGGGTGGTTGTTACTTGATTGGCTAAAAAATATTCTCACAACGTATTAAAATGCAACGACAAGTTGTGCAAGTCAAACACTATCATTTCTTAAGATATCAAATATTTCTTATTCATGTTAAAAAAAAAAAGGCCAGTGCGCTAAATCCGAGTTAAAACCCAGCGGCATCACGACGGCGTAGAGATGTTATTTACTGGAGTTTGTATAATTTCTTGTACTCATTTTAGCTACAAAAACGGAAAGTTAAAATAAATATTCCGACGAAAAGATACAGAAAAATCATATACAGTTCTGCTCGTAATTTCACGCTGGGTTTTTTGCACTTTCTTTAATTACCAATTTCCAGAGTTTACGTAGTGAGCAAGTGTTTAGTATTTTCTTACGATAAAACAAAAATATTTCCTTTCATCTTTTATTATTTTGTTTTTTTTGTCTGAAAGCCTAATGCTTAAATATTAGATGTTCAACAGAAGTAGATTATCAAATGTAGAATCTATCTTTATTTTTAGAAAAAAAGATAACTAATAAAATACAGGATGGAAACAAAGAAAGCAGAAATTTGAAATTATTATATATTGTAAAATTCTTGCTTCGTGGGGGGGGGGGCAAATGCCCACCAGAAACACATAGAAATTCATACTTGTTTTTTATCCATGAAAATTTGGACAGGGTACAGGGTGTTCCCAAATTACATTATACTAAATATTTAAATCACTTTTCTCGAAAACTAGCACATTTTCTCATTGGTGGTTTGAATGAAATGTGTGTCAGTGTGCAGGATATTGGAGGATCAATGAACATTATCACAGACAGATTATGCTCGCAATAACTACACTTAGGGGACAGATTTGATTAATGAAGATTAAGATTAATGAAAAGCACACTGAACACTTCCTGCCCACATTTATTGAAACACGTCATCCATTTTGTTGGTGTGAACGTGCTTTGTAGTCACATGAGAAAAACCTGTACACTGGATATAGATAAAATGATATAGGTACCAGCTTATCTCTCTTTGGTTAACTTGTGTTCAGGGTTACTCATGAGGAGTGGAATTCCCCGAAACTAGTATAACCCAATAACACACGTTGATCAAAGTGTAGATTGAACTGGATCTCCCTTGAACTTAGACTTCGAAATTAGACAATTTTCGGAATACTAAGTTTATTTATTATTACGATGTATCATGTACAAACATTTTTTCAAAAACAAAAAAAAACCGAAAGATTTTTAATGTATTTTGGACAAGTAGTTTTTAACACATAACCATTTTAACTATAAGATTTTCTTTATAACCACCCTGTACTTATAATTTACACGATTGATTTTACCAATTCGATGGGATAGTTTTCCTTAGTGGCCATAACATTTGAAATAAAAGTTCAACCAAAATTTTTTTAATTGGTACATTCCCCCCCCCCCTTTTCGTCAAATATTTTTTTTTCTAGGCAAGTCTCATCCTCCTCACTTGAACAAACACTCGCGATTACAAACCATTCCAAAGGAAAATTGAACTTTATTAACCTTAACTATTTAGGTGATTTTTGGTGTGATCACATATACCTCAAAGTTTTAGCAAAATTATAACTTGTTTAAAAAAAATATATATATATAATTATTGTATCCAAAAGCTTCCATCAACCCAGAAATGCTAATAGTATCACAAATACAAAAACGAATTGTTAATAAACTAAAATACTTAGGGGGTTAAAAGGTTAAAATTGGGGGGAGGGGCTAAGCAAAGGTCATCGTAAGTGCAAGAAAGTGATTGAGAAAAAAATGCAGTCGTTATGAAACATATTGTCTTGGTTCTTACAAATACTGGATACGTAATTGGAATTTTGGCATTTGCGAAGAAATTGGAAGATAATTCTGGCTTCCGACTTGTTCTGCTAAGAAAGATAAACAGTTTTCTTTGGCCACAGTCCTGGTCAGTACGCCAAACAATGTAAAATGGAAATAAGTTGGAACACATCATGAAAACAAGTCGGTAAAAAATAATCCGCTTACTAGGTGACCCCCTCTTTACTTGCCGAACCTGCAACAGAAGAGAAGCATTGAAAATGCATTTAGACAGGGTAGAGCGAACTGATAATGGCACATTTCAAATAGAATTTTATTTTCTGGGCGTCTTAGTCAGCCTAGCTGTAGAAAAATCAAATCAGTAAATATAACTATTAATTACGAACTTCGGCAAATGTTTTAAAGTCGTTTGTTTTACAGATGACAATGAGTGTCTTAAACTATGCAGTTGTGAATGATATGAGAGAAATGGCACGAGACTGCCAGAAGGAAGACGCGGGTAAATACTAATAGCCGAAGCTTAGTTTCATCAACCAGATGGTAGTGCAAATAATATGTACGCCAAAGAAAACAGTTATTTTAATTAGCTTCTTGAAATTGCCTGCGTTTTATAATTAGTCGTAAATTAGCGGAAAACACAATACTGTATTTTATACGTTACATTTGAGGAATTCGTTTTCTAGCATCTGATTAACTGTTCCTTTGTAACGAAGGTAACGACTTCCTGAAGTTGGGTGTTTTCCAGCGACTGTTCCTTCGTAACGAAGGTAATGTGTTTGTGTTTTGTTATAGCAAAGCCACATCGGTCTATCTGCTGTGTCCACCGAGGGGAATCAAACCCCTGATTTTATCGTTGTAAATTCGTAGACTTACCGTTGTCCCACCTCAAGTTGGGTGTTTTCTAGCGGCTGATTAACCGTTCCTTCATAACAAATATAATGATCTCCTGATGTTCAGTATTTTCTAGAGGCTCTTTTTTTTTTCAAAAAGAAGGTAATAGCCTCCTAAGTTGGGTGTTTTCT